TCCAACCATTTCTCTATTATCCAGTATTTGTTGACTATACCCCAAAAATTCTAGTAGATTGGAGTGGCATGATTTTCTTTTGCAGAATTCATATTCATTTGTCCCTATCACATCAAGTTCATTTAGGTGCTTTTATATTTAATTGTTTTTTTAACTAATTTTCCTGATACTAAAATAAGGTTCACTCACAGCATAGTCTGATTCTGGTCCTCTCTGGGCAGCTGCAGATGCAGGCAACATACTGGGGAGAAGTGTGTGCAGTGGCGTCTTGTTTTGATAGGGTGTTTTGGTTTTTAGTATACATTTTGCTATGTACCCAGATACTGGGACCACAGCGGGCTGGCACAAATTAGAGCACTGTTGAGGTAACTCTCACCTGCACTGGGCCTGACACAAAGAATCAAGGAGCTATAACTGGTTGCTGGTTCACATTTCTACTCTTTTTGTCCTCTCCTAGCCTGTCATGGGGGGTGGGGTAGAGGAGTCATCCCTTACTAGGTGTTCTCATAGGCTCCTACCCTGCTCTTCTTGGGGCTCCCATAGAATGGCAGGAAAGCAGGCTATGGAATACTCTCTCTTCCCTCCCTTGCAATGCAGCAGGCAACCAATGGAGGAGTTGATGAGAAACCACAGTTGAGAGGAAACAGCAGCTTCTCAGATCACTCCCATCTCACACCAGAGCTGCTGCTAATGCTATAGGGGAGAAAGTGGGGAAGTGATGCCCCTACCTCCTCCCTGTAGCTACAGAGCTAATTCAAACCTTGACAGTAACTCAGTTTTGAATACCTGTACAAAAGAGAGGCTCTTGCTCAACCAGAAGTTATGTGCTTGATGCAGGAATCATTAATTCTATGGACTGTGTTATCCAGGAGGTCAGATTAGATTATCACAATGGTCCCCTCTGGCCTTAAAATCTATTAATCTAATAAAAAAATTAACTTATAAAGAGAAAGCACAGCTGAAGAAACACAGCCTCTGTGAATAATTAAAGACTCATTTTCTTACAAACATAGCTATCTTCAAGGGCAACAGTTCAGAGTTTTGAGGGCCTCAGGTTGGAAGTTACTGATCTAACATAATGGACCCCCAATCTGAACTTGAGTCCTTAAATGCTATCATAACATCAATTAATAATAATAGAGCAGGTTTTCACATTGAGGCTAAGTAACAATAGAAACTGCTCAGCAAACAATGTTATACAATGAAACTGGGATTGTGTCCATCGTCCACTGACTTCCTCAGATGCTGGCTGAAAAGGACAGTGAAGCAACAAACATGAAAACAAGTGTTTCCTCAGAATGACACAGCCAGACACGGAGGATATTTGTCACAAGTTATTTTGCAAATGACGAGCGCTATCCTGTCAGAGGCTCCGCAGCTCCTGAGAAGTGCTGAACCCTCTCAGCTCCCATGGACACCCAGGGCCGCCCAGAGGGGGGGGCAAGTGGGACAATTTGCCCCAGGCCCTGGGTCCCGCAAGGGCCCCCATGAGTATGTCGGAGGCTCCCCCCACCTCCGTCTTCCCCCATCCCCCGGCGTCTCAGCTGGTAAGGGGGTGGGGCTGCGAGCTGCGGCCGAGCCGTGGGAGCTCAGGCCCCATTGGAGACACCACGCCGCTGCAGCGCTGTCTGGGGCTGCTCCTGAACACGGCGCGCGGAGGCTCCGGGAGAGGGGGTAAGCGGCATGGTAAGGGGCCGGGGCCGGGCATGCCCCCGACCCCATCCCCCGCAGCCCTGACCCCCAGCTCCGAGCCCAGCCCCTCTGAGCCAGACACCTCCCTGACCCCATCCCCCCCACAGCCCTAACCCCCAGCTCTGAGCCCAGCCCCTCTGAGCCCGGACACCCCACTGACCCCATCTCCCCACAGCCCTGAGCCCAGCCCCTCTGAGCCGGATGCCCCCGACCCCATCCCCCCACAGCCCTGACCCCCAGCCCCTCTGAGCCGGACACCCCCCGACCCCATCCCTCCCACAGCCCTGACCCCCAGCTCCGAGCCCAGCCCCTGTGAGCCGGGCACCCCCCAACCAAGAGCCCAGCTCCCCACCCAGCCCTGGGCGCCAGCAGCACCACCCCCAGGCAGCGACAGTCCATTGGCACCAACCATCGCCATCGCCCAGCAACAGCCCATTATGTAATTGCAAATGTATACATACCATTAAAGCATTTAATGTTTTTAAATCATGTATTTCGTGTATTTTCAAATTATTACAAATTAATTTTTGAATGTATTTCACTAGTTATTTTTTACATTTCCAAATTCATGTTACTATAGTATTGCAACTTTTTTTTATGGACGGGGCCCCCGAAATTGCTTTGCCCCAGGCCCCCTGAATCCTCTGGGCGGCCCTGTGAACACCAATGGGACTGGGAGCAGTTCAGCCCCTGACAGGTTCAGGCTCTAATTTGTTACAGCTTGTGTGATGCCTGAAATGTCCCTTCTTCTAAACCACTCAGAGATTAGTGTCCTGTGGTGAATGTGGTTAAAATGATGAACTAAGTTGTGAAACGATTTTGATTACATGAAATAGATAGACAGACAGACAGACAGACTACTCACATGAGACCCAGCCTATGGTGCTGAGCAACGTTGTCTCATTGTTTTCTTGCACTCCCCCATCTGCCTGTCTTATCCATCTGTCGTCTCTTGTCATATACTTAAATTGTAAGCTCCTTGGGGCAGCGACTGTCTTTTTGTTCTGTGTTCACACAGCACCTAGCACAACAGGGTCCATGCCTAAGGCTCCTAGACACTATGATAAGTAGGTATTGCAAGTGGGCAATGGGAGGCTGATATTATGGGCCTATTGACAGCTCAATTACAAAAGAGAGATGATAGGAAGAGAGACAAGGTGGGTGAGGTAATATCTTTTATTGGACCAGCTTCAAAAGAAAGGGAGTGGGCACCTGACCAAAAGAGCCAATGAGAAGGCTAGAACTTTTTAAAATTGGGGGGGCGGGGGCTTTCCCTTTGTTGTTCTGTGGTTGTTCTCCGGAGAAAGGGAACAGAACAAAGTCAGGGCTATGACTATACTGTAAAAAGCTTTTTGTCAGGTATGGAAATCAATTGGAGTATTATGTCCAGTTCTGGGCACCGCATTTCAAGAAAGATGTGGAGAAATTGGAGAGGGTCCAGAGAAGAGCAACAAGAATAATTAAAGGTCTTGAGAACATGACCTATGAAGGAAGGCTGAAAGAATTGGGTTTGTTTAGTTTGGAAAAGAGAAGACTGAGAGGGGACATGACAGCAGTTTTCAGGTATCTAAAAGGGTGTCATAAGGAGGAGGGAGAAAACTTGTTCACCTTAACCTCTAAGGATAGAACAAGAAGCAATGGGCTTAAACTGCAGCAAGGGAGGTTTAGGTTGGACATTAGGAAAAAGTTCCTAACTGTCAGGGTGGCTAAACACTGGAATAAATTGCCTAGGGAGGTTGTGGAATCTCCATCTCTGGAGATATTTAAGAGTAGGCTAGATAAATGTCTATCAGGGATGGTCTAGACAGTATTTGGTCCTGCCGTGAGGGCAGGGGACTGGACTCAATGACCTCTCGAGGTCCCTTCCAGTCCTAGAATCTATGAATCTATGAATCATCAGATTATACCTAGAACTATCCAAATATGTAAGTAGATTAGGAAATGTTTAGAAAGACGTGATTAGGTTTATTTCTTTTATTTTCTGTAAGGCTTGTGGACTCCTCTGTGCTAACCCCAGATGCTTTTGTTTTGCTTGTAACCTTTAAGCTGAACCTCAAGAGAGATGTCTTGATGCTTAATTTTTGTTATTGTTTCTTTTAAGATCTAGCAAAAAGCCTAAGTTTCAGATGTATTTTCTTTCTTTTTGTTTTTAATAAAATTTACCTTTTTTAAGAACAGGATTGGATTTTTGGTGTCCTAAGAGGTTTGTGCATGTTGTTTAATTAGCTGGTGGCAACAGCTGATTTCCTTTGTTTTCTTTCTCAGCTCTTCCCCAGAGGTGGGGTGAATTCCCAAGTGTAGCTTCCTGGGTCCCAAGGGGTTTTTGCATTTGGGTGGTGGCAGGGTTTACCAAGCCAAGGTCAGAGAAAGCTGTAACCTTGGGAGTTTAATACAAGCCTAGAGTGGCCACTATTAATTTTTAGAATCCTTGTGGGCCCCCACCTTCTGCACTCGAAGTGCCAGAGTGGGGAATCAGCCTTGACACATGGTCAATCCAATGAGCTAGGAAAATGCTCTTTGTAGTAGCATTCTAAATGGATGTGAGTGGGGCAAGATCACATTTGTTAAGACCTAAGAAGAGCAGGATGTTGCAGTAATCAAGGCATGAGATGACAAGAGCTTGGATGGGAATGTTGGCTGTGTGGATATTCAAATCCCTGTTCCAATAAATATTTATACAAAGTGGAACAACTTCAATAGGACAAATTGAGTCTCACCTGTCAATAGCCCAGGGGCTAAAGCACTCAGCTGGGAATTGAAATACCCAGGTTCAAATTCCTGGTTTGAAATCAGGCAAATCGGAAACTTGGACCTGGACTTCCAATAAGCAAAGTAAATGTCTTACCCACCGAGCTATTCAAGGGAAGTGGGGGGTTTCTCTCTTTGCAAGTAGGTTCAAAACTAGTATGTTCCAGCAAAACGATTCCATTTTGACGAATCTTGAAAAAACTTTAATCAAAAATGCAGATTCGTCAAAATGGAATCGTTTTGCTGGAACTTACTAGTTTTGAGCCTACTTGCAAAGAGAGAACCCCCCCAGGTTTGATTAAAAACTTTAATCAAAAATTTCACAATCATCTCCAGTATTTACTGTCTTCAAATGGTTGCACAATCAGATGGTATTAGTTAACTTGTTTTGTGTCACCCCATCTTGTGTTATATGATATCTGTTGCTAATTAAAGCGTGTTAAACTGTGAGTCATTCTACAGCAGACTTTATGAAACACCCTATTAACCATATAAACTGAGAAGCCTGAAAGACATGTATACCGAAAGTAGAGCCTGACTCTTGTTACGCTAAGGCAGAAATGAGGATAAGAATGAAGAGCCTTCCATTTTTGCTGTTACTATATGTGGCATTTTCTTATGCTTTTCCTGTGCTTCCAGAAAAAAACAATGAAGGAGAAAATATGCAGCTTGTACAGGTAACTTCATTTTCTGAATCTAAGATGTGCTGAACCTTTTCCTTTCAGATTTTAAAGCATCTGCATGTTTGAATTGGTCAAGACATTGTTATCGCATGAGGATGCCCTGCACAGCCATACACAGATCTTTCAAGCACACTTTGCTAAAACCGATAAAAATCAACATGAGTAGGAATTGTCAAGTGATTAAAAAAATGGAATGTGTGGTCTGTTTCTATTTAGCCAGATTCCTAAGACAAACAGCTGCTGGAGCACATGGAAATCAGCGGCACGAAAGCATAGTGTACGAATAATAGTGGTCCTAAGGTAATTTTTTTAAGATCTAAAAAAAGGTTGTAGAATTCATTTATTTATTTATTGTCAGGAGTATCTAGAGAAATTTTATGAGCTTCAACCAGATCCGGAGCATCTAGCATGGAGAAGGAGCACTAGCCCCATGGTTGAAAAAATCCAAAAAATGCAAGAATTTTTTGGGTTGGAAGTGACCGGGAAGCCAGATCCTGAGACTTTGGAAGTGATGCAGAAGCCCAGGTGTGGAGTTCCTGATGTTGGACAGTATGGTTTCATTCTCCCAGGATGGAAAAAAAACAAACTGACATACAGGTAATATCTATGTCATTTTTTCTTGTGTTTAAAATGTGTTTCTCATCTGAAAAGTAGCTCAAAAATTATCTTGTGGGTATCCTTATTTATTTTCTAAAAAAAAAACTCTCATAGCAAGTGTACTCAGTTAACACAAACAAAAGTTTGTTAGTTTTTCCCTGCCAGTCATGCAAATACACCCTGGACTCATGGAGTCTAGCTGGGTACTTTACCTCTTAGACATAATTTCTAGTAAAGATTCTGTAGGCCAAATATGAGCCTCACTTACGCTCGTTACACCCCTATTGTCTTCAAATGATGTAATCAATGGCAACTTAATATTGTCTCTAAAGTCAGTAGATATGACTTTCAATGCGCCCAAGGAGAAGATCTGTTGAACAGCAGCCATTTTGACAGGGTAGAACTGCTCTTTAAGAGGTCAGATATATATGATAGAACATGAGTATTTTAAATATTAGAGATGGAAAAAGCAAGTTATCACATTCCTGGCACACAGAATCCAAAGTGAGTTTTGAATGCTCAAGGATCATTGGTCAGGCCTCTTTTTGTATCTTCTAGTACAACATGCTGTCATTGCTGGATAAACTCTTTAGATCAGGGGTTGGCAACGTTTGGCACGCGGCTCACCAGGGTAAGCACCCTGGCGGGCCGGGCCAGTTTATTTACCTGCTGACGCGGCAGGTTCGGCCGATCGCTTCCCCAACTGGCCGCGGTTCGCCATCCCGGGCCAATGGGGGAGGCGGGAAGCCACGGCCAGCACATCCCTCGCCCGAGGGATGTATTATTATTACAGCATATGCATTTGTTTCTTTATTCCTACAGAATTGTGAATTACACTCCAGATATGACACAAACTGATGTGGATAAAGCAATCCAGAAGGCATTTAAAGTATGGAGCACTATGTCCCCACTGACTTTCACTAGGATTTATAAAGGGATAGCAGACATAATGATTGCTTTTGGGACTGGAGGTACTGTAATAACTGTATGGAACTGGTAAGATGAATTTATATTGTTGCCTACGGCAATGATATGGCGCTCTAATTTTTTTTCAACAAATTCCTGTTTAGCTCATGGTCGCTGTCCCCGTTATTTTGATGGACCCCTTGGTGTTCTTGGCCATGCCTTTCCACCTGGCAATGGTATTGGAGGGGATGTCCACTTTGATGAAGATGAACACTGGACAGAAGGCTCTGCTGGTAGGTCAATAAGGTCTCTTGTACTACATGTTAATGATACCTTATTGTAGTACAAAGTAAATGTTAAAAATAATTAGGATATTAAAGATCATCCTCAAATTTCTTTCATAGAACTGCTTGAAAAAAGATTGTAGCGGAAGGGTACATACTTCTCCTGAGCAACCTGGTTTGTTTAGATTGGGGTATCCACAGTGACTGACAGCAGATATACAAATTTGGCCTTGTCTACACTATAGGATGGAACCAGTGGTAAAGGTACCAAAGGCATAGCACTCTCTTAAGCACCAGCAGTATAGTGTGTCCTTGCTAATGCAGTAGCAATAGAGGCCACTGCAGTTTTGACCCATGTCCACACAAGAGCTGTAGTACATTTCTGCAGTACCTATCACACAGTTTCCAGCACAGCTCCCTCAAGTAGTGGTTTCTGGGATATTTCAAAAGGCCTTTTGGAATTCCCTGGGGAGCCATAGGAAATTGTGAAAGAGGTCAAACTCCCAGAATCCTCTGGGGGAACTCACATTAACCCCCTAGTTCCAATACAATTTCCTAGTCCCTTTCTTATGTTCCACACCAGGCAGGGTAGGGCCTTGAATCCAGGTCTCTCATATCTAGGTGAGTGTCCAAACCACAGGGCTATTGAATATTCAAGGATGGCCCACTCTCTTTCCCCTCTCTCTCTTCTTCCATTCCGCCCCTCCAGTGAAAAGTTTCAGAAAGTCTTGGTTTAATTCTTCAATGGAACAAAAAGAAATGTCCAAACCTCACATTTTGTTTGCAAAATGGAATTATTGTTTTCCAGCCAGCCATGCTCAGGAGATCTAGGTTCAATTCACTGCTCTGCCACAGACTTGTGGGCAAGTCACTTGACAACTCTGGACCTCAGTTTTTCATCTTTAAAGGAGAGATAATAATTCTTCCTTACCTCACAAGGGGTTTGTGAAGCTAAATCTATTAATGTCTATGAGGCACTCAGATACTACATGGATAACTATAGGTATCAAGATAACTGAGCAAATCTAATTTCTCCTGTTTGTTGAGATGACATTAAATCAGAGTGAAACCAGAGCTACCTTTGTCTGATGTGTTTTATTAGGGGGTATTTTAAATAAACCATGGACCTAGAAAAAATCTATTTATAAAAGGGAAAACATTGAGTCAACGCTATTTTTTAAATATATATTTCCTGCCCAACTGTGTGTACCATGTGTGCAGGGAAGAAAGTCCCATAGAACAACAATTTAGTGCCTTAGGCATAAATATGAGTATTCCTCTTGTTCTAGTCCTCCTACTATTGATAGTTCTGAATCACCATACAATCAGGGGTAGGTAAATTGGAAAGCCTTTCCTGGCAATTCATCAAAACTGCTCCCACTCTCACCTCCAGCCACCTACTCACTCAGCTCAGCTAGTTTCAACAACTACAGGAAAGAGCCAAACAGCCACTGCCTTCTTGACTCTGGAAGAACATCGCCTTCAGGGCTTAAATTCTCATAGATGATTTCCTGGAGCCCCTCCCCACACACACACATACTCTTCCCATTCAGGGCTCCAGGTTTCAACTGTGGAGTGGGGGAATCTCAGGGCTTTAACCCTATGGGGCATGCTGGGGCTCAGGGCTTCAGCCCCATGGGTTGTGCCAGGGCTCGCCCCACAGGTTTGAAAATATTTAGCGGAGCTCTGCTCTGGACAGCTCTAGCAAAATTTAAGCCCTGACCGCCTTGTTTATATAACATGTTTCATACTATATCCCAGCACCAGTGGTTTGAGGTATATACTGTGATGGCTGTAGAATCACTAAGATCCTCTGTAGCACTTGTGTGTTGAGCAGTAAGCTGGACTTCCCAGTTGCAGGCCTGTAGACACAAATACGTCTAAGCTGTCTTGCACCTATGCTTCTTTTAGGGTTCAACTTGTTTCTGGTCGCTGCTCATGAGTTTGGCCACGCATTGGGTCTCTCACATTCCACTGACCGTGGAGCCTTGATGTTCCCAAATTATGCCTACATCAACCCCACTGAATTCCTGCTCTCCCCAGATGACATTAATGGTATACAAGCCATTTACGGTGAGTAGAATCCATCTCCTCAAAAAAACAGAAACAAACAATATCTCAAACAAAGTGAAATCATTTTTAACTAATTATATTTCAATATTGTTCCTCTGTGTGTGAAATACATGACTATCCCCACACATTTTGATATATTCTTTTTAAACTGCTTTCCCTAGGACCCTCACCTAACACCCCGGATGAGCCAGCCAGACCCACATCACCTAAAACCTGTGACCCTATGGTGTCTTTCGATGCCATCACCACACTGCGCAGAGAAGTCATGTTTTTTAAAGACAGGTAAACCCAATCCCTCTTCAAATGACATTAACCTTTGTTTGGACGTCTCCTTTACATTATTTCTTAATGATTGAATGAAACAACGTACTCCAATGATCAGCACCATAGATAGAGGGATTGAAAGAAAGAAAAGGAGATTTCAGAATTAATAACCCACAGAAATAAGAGATGTTTTATTGTTAACAGTGAAGCTATTTACAAACTCGCCTACATTTATACTAGAGGTGAAGTGAGTCCTCTGGCAAGAGTTGCTTGTCTTTCCCAGAAAATATCTCAGGCCCAGCAAAGGTCTATGATTCATTTCAAAATAAGCAGATGGTCAAATTGAGTTGTGAGATAAGTAAATGCTACCATCATTTACAAAGGAATGGTTATGTTCTGTAATACCTCTTGGGGCCAAATTCAGTTCTCAGTTATACCTGTACAAGTCCACAGTCAGTGGGAACTCATAAGTTAGCAGATCAGAATCAGACTCATTATTTTGTGTGTCCTGGATCCTCTAGCTGATTCTTTCATGTTAGAGTGTGGTACAGGAACTACCCAATCCCTCATCTAGTCCTAACTTATATTCTTAGTCAGTCAACACCAAGGGTGGACTGGTCAGTCAACAAAAGGGGTTTTTTAGAAGTAGCTGATATATTTGGATATTTGACTGCAGCAAGTGACAGAATTTTCTTTCCCAGTATGGCCAATATTTTACTTTCTGGCATGGTGAAATCACTGACTGATTAATAGAATTCACATGGTATCCTGCTAGATTTCCTTGACAAGAAAGAGGTTATAAGTCCCATCACTGTTTACAGTCTTATGAATATACAGAAATGTATGTGGGTTTATTATTTACTGTGAAAATTGTATCATATTTAAATCAGGCACATATGGCGAGTTTATCCTGGTAATTCAGAAGTTGAACTTGAATTAATTTCTACATTCTGGCCTTTTCTGCCATCTGGTATTCAAGCTGCTTATGAAAATATTAAAGATCAGATTCTATTTTTCAAAGGTAAAATATGTGTGATTTTCTCTAAATTCTTCGTACATGTAATTTTTGGGAGGAAAGCACAGGGTTTGTAGTGTTTCAATGTGCATAATACCTATGCACCTGGAATACCTATGCCAATGGGAGGATTTTCCCACTGATGTAGGTAATCCACCTCCCCAAGAGGCCATAGGTAGGTTGATGGAAGAATTCTTCTGTTGACCTAGCACTGTCTTCACGGGAGGAGGGAAGGAGTAGTGGGGAGAGGTACGATTGTTATAGCTACATCTCTCAGGGGTGTGGATTTCTCACACTCCTGAGAGATATATCTACACCAGTGTAAGTCCTTGTATAGACCTGGCGTGTATAGAATGAACAATTACAGGAAATTTTACCTAGTTTTCCTTACATGGGATTTCATGAATTCTGCTACTGTGCAGGCCCATGTGTTACTTCCACTAAGCAAATGCACTTGTGTTAGGGTGACCAGACAGCAAGTGTGAAAAATCGGGACAAGGGGTGGGGGGCAATAGGAGCCAATATAAGAAAAAGACCCAAAAATCAGGACTGTCCCTATAAAATCAGGACATCTGGTCACCCTAACTTGTGTTTGGTGGCTTGTCATAAACCACAGGTGAAACATTACAAATCTTGTTGTTGCTGTTGTTTTAAACAGGGAATAATTTCTGGGTTATCAGTGGGTACCAGGTGCTCCCTGGTTATCCTAAGAACATCAACACGTTGGGTTTCCCAAGGAGTGTTATGAAAATTGATGCAGCTGTTTCTAATAAAAACACAGGAAAAACAGACTTTTTTGTAGGTGACAAGTATTGGAGGTAAGGTCAATGGCTAAAAATTTTGCTTTCTGCTTGACTTCCATGCAACCTTCATGTGTGCATTTAAAGATAAGATTTGCCCTTTAAATATTTAGACAGCTAGGACACTTTAATAAGGAATATATTTTAATTTTCAAGGAAAGCATTTGTTTAAATGACTCCTGAACTGAGAAAAGAATATACCTTTGCTTCTCTTTCGAAGGCCTGTTTAACAGGACTGTCAATATAGTACTCTGCATGTAGATTTCTTTTGGTGCACTGTACAAGACAATAAGAGTATTCAAGGAAAATGGCAGAAGCCTTAACACTTGGGACTTTTACAAATAAAGTGGGCAAAAAGCTAGAAAATGTACTATACAAAGCAATTCTCTGTTGGCAGGGAGATGGACTGGATGATCCAACAGGACTTTACCTTCTCTAACTTCTGTACAAATAACAGTAAATTGACTCACAGTGTAGGCTTATGTCTACCCTATGAGATGGAAGCGCGATTCCTCTCCTCATATATACAGACTTGTGGTTAGCTCTTGTTAAGTCAGCATGAGTATAAATAGCTGTGTAGTCACAGTAGCATGGGTACGTGCAGTGAAAGCATGGCTTAGCCATGCCAAGTACAAATTCACCTGGAACTGATAGGTACAATGAAACTAACTGTCCTTAACTCTCCATCATTTATCTGCTTTGTATTGGATTTGCAATACATTTAAGCCAAACTCTGCTCACCTAATTCACAGGAGTGCCTTTTAGCACCCAAATACCAGAGAAATAAGATGCAGGGAGATAAGACAGATAATAAACTAGTCATGTGAGTGGCCCATTATGCAAAGCTGGTCATTATTCAGAGATCCCTGCAATAAGTAAGGAGCATGGTATGAGTCAAAGAGGCTTTATCATCATTGTGTATTTCCTTAGTCTGATGATTCAAGTCAGCCACACAATGTTCGTTGAATTTATAGTTGTCTGTGGTTTCCTATTGTTTGTATTTACTGGTTTTGGAAAGAACCCTTGCAATAACTTATGCTGCTGTTCTACTGGCCTGGTTACAGGGCAAAGGACATTAGCTGCCCACATAAAAGCTACCATACAGAGTTTTAAAATGTAGTATTAAAACAGTAATTATTTCAGAACCACAGCCTTCCTCCAAAAAATGTCTCATATCCAAAGACAATTAAAACAAATTATTTTCTTTTTGTTTCAGCATGGAGTTCTCCTAGTTCTTTCTGAACAAAGAACCATTTAGTTCCTCCTTTCACCCGCTAAAGTCAACCCGGCATTATATTAACGGTCCTTCAGGCCAATGAGAACTGGGTCCATCAGAACTGACCTTAATTTGACTAGATGGATCATCAAAGAGTGATAAGCCAGTTCCCCCTCTCTCCTCTAAATTTCAAAGCCGAGTATGCTTCCAGGTTACAAGCAATGGACAAAGCTTAAATGCCAAATGTAGTGCCTCCATATGGTAATACATAGTTTCACAGCTTTTAGGGCCAGAACAGATCATTAGATCATCTAGTCTCACTTCCTGTATAACACGGGTCATTACATTTCACACATTTACCCCTGCATTTAGAACAGTAACTTGTGTTTAACTAAAATACATCTTCTAGAAAGTCATCCAGTCTTGACTCAAAGAGATGGAATGTCCACCACTTCTGTTGGCAGTTTTTTCCAATGGCTAATAACCCTCACTGTTACAAACTTGTGCCTGGTTTCTAATTTGAATTTGCTTTTATTCAGCTTCCAGCCAGACACTTACTGGAGCTCTGCCACATCAGAGTTTGCTCCCACATTAAACACACACTCCTGCAAAGAGACAGGCTTGTGGGGGAGGAATAGCTCTGTGGTTTGAGCATTGGCCTCCTAAACCCAGGGTTATAAATTCAATCCTTGAGGGGGCCATTTAGGGATCTGGGGCAAAAATCTGTCTGGGGTTTGGTCCTGCTTTGAGCAGGGGGTTGGACTAGATGACCTCCTGAAGTCCCTTCCAACCCTGACATTCTATGATTCATAGGTTTAAAGGTCAGAAGGGTCCACTGTGATCATCTAGTCTTGAGTATCAGGGGGTAGCCGTGTTAGTCTGTATCTACAAAAACAACAAGGAGTCTGGTGGCACCTTAAAGACTAACAGATTTATTTGGGCATAAGCTTTCGTGGGTAAAAACCTCACTTCTTCAGATCTAGTCTTGAGTTGCTGCATGTGCTTAAGTTTGTGAAATGTGGGTAGCCTAATGAAGTCACTTGGTCTACTCACAGTGAATAAAGTTAACCATGTGCTTAAGTCTTTGCAGGATTAGGGCTTAAATTCTTGCAAATCCATTCCACCCTGTTATATCATTCAGGTATGAGGAAAGCAGTCAATCCATGGAAAAGGGCTATCCAAGACAGATAACAGATGACTTTCCAGGAATTGGCAAGAAAGTTGATGCTGTTTTCCAGCATAAAGGTAAGTGGAATGAACTTTCAAGTAAGTGGAAGATTTGCACTGTTGTAAATTTCAGAAGGATTAAAAATATTTTTAGTCATTATTATATTAGTCACATTATATGCCATTATTATTATTACCTTGCTAAGAGCAGAAAGTAACAAGAGGTTTTCTGTGCATATGGAAGATGTTATTTTGCTATTGTCTCCAGCATTATTTGTTAAAACAGAGCTACAAATGACTTGTACAATATAATCATTCCTCTTACTTTTATTTCTAGGATTCTTCTACTTTTTCCATGGATCAAAGCAATGGGAGTTTGACCCTAATGCTAAGAGAGTTATTCGTGTGATGACGAGCAATAGCTGGTTTAACTGTTAACATTAAACATTATTATATGCAACTTAAGAAAAGAAAGTCTAGCTAGCTAGCTTTCTATAAAATAGCCCATCACTGTGATATCAAAGCACCTAGTATATTGGAAAGGCAAACGGGCTGTTTTTTCATGAATGTCTACATTCTCAGTATTGTCCATATTTAGTGTATGTCCAACAGTCAAAGCAGAGCTACAGTCTTCGATTTCTTTTCATAACAAAGTATAACATTCATGTGTGTTTTATACTCTGAATGGACTTCCCACTATCTTGGAAATAAAGTGTTTTATACTTGGTATTAACTGCCGTCTGCTTCATCCGTTCATGACACTTCACATTTCTAAAACAGAAAAGGTCTGAAGGACTTGACACAAATACGCTGAATATATTTTAAAATTATATATCCCCATCTTTTCACTTTTTCTTTCACAACACCTCCAAGCTCCTGCCTTGTTCTGTCCATATTGCCAAAGCTCTCACCCAGGCCCTTATTGTCTTGTGTCTTAAACTTGTCATCATCTCCACTTTGGCCTTGACTGCTTCAACCTTTATCCTCTCATATCAATTCAGAATCACCCTCCTGGCTTGTTGCTTCAACCATGGCACCCCTCTCTCTTACATCAAGTATCTTCTTAGAACATTATGTCCATTCACAATTTAGCCCTGTTCTGTTCAGTTAATCCATTATCTTACCATGCGTAAATCTTTGTGCCATCAACAATGCCAGCCTTTCCCACCCATTAGTCTACTTCTAACTCAAATACTTCTGTGCATTATCTCATGCTGCCCCTTGTGCATGGAACAAACTCCCCACAAAAATCCATAAAGTCGCTCCCTTATCCTCCCTTCATATGTTTCCTTCAGACACCCTTGTGCAATAATGCCTATAGAAAACCGCCAGTCGGCAAGTTATATTGTGTGCTAGTCTATGTGAAAACATGCTTGCAGTGATATTGGCTTGTCCTCCTTCTCCCACATTGTCATCTTTGTTTCATCACACATTGCATCTTTGGAATAAGGAGTTTCTTTTTACTACATGTGTGCACAGTGCTGAGTGCAGTGGGACCCTGATCCCTACCTGGAAACTCATGGCACTACTGTAAATAAAACAATAATAATAGAAATATATAATAATGATAATAATAAATAATAATATTGGGATGAAAGTGTGATTACTCCATTCCCATTGACCTGTTTGCTATCAGCAAATCTGAACCAACATGTGGCCAATCAGGGCCCCAACATTTATTACCCTTGTTCTGTGTAGCTCCACAGAATTTCATGTTTCTCTTCTTGTTCTAGTCTCACTGCAGCCAATGGAGCGACACTGAATTACACCAGTTGGCCAATTGTATCTAAAAATGAGATAAAAATTCAACAGACCCTATTGCCCCTGGTGCATTCAAGAGTACCCCGGGGCAATATGTCAGGTCAGATATTTCAGTTTTGTGACCGTGAACATGTAAATTCGAGAACAAAAGAAACACAGCTAGAACCATGCTGGTTAGATGCAGGTCCCTAATGCAGTTTAAACTACAAGTGGCTTGCAGTAGAAAATATTTGCTAGCCACCCCCAATTTTGTGGGAGAGAAAACTTGTTGGGGCTGCCAGCTTCCCAGACTATGAAATGGGCACTTCTTGGCAGGAGGTTATTGTAGCCTTTCATCACCATTGCCCAATGATGCAACTGTCTGAAGATACCCTTTCTGATTATTACACACTCAGGATGTTGCTGACAGATTGTAGTAGAGGTTGGTGGGATATGTAAAATGACTCAGCCTACTCCCTGTTTTGATTCATCTCTATCATAATTTCAGTAAAGAGTGTCTAGAGGACACAGCTTCATGGCATGTTTACAGAAGCTGCCAAGTCAGTCAACACCCCAACTTACAAACAGAGGCAAGGCTATTATCAGACACTGTACTCTGCCTTGGCTGTTTAATAAAAAAAAATGTTTGTTTTACCTGCAATAAAAGTTTAATCATTAAGCTAGAAAAGAAATTATTCCACATCCCACAGAATATAGGTGAGGTTCCCAGCTCTTCAGGTAAAAGCACAAATAATTGTAATAAATCTGTACCCCATTCCATTCCCAGCTGAAACATTGTTTGGTTACCAGAATAAATCCTTTGTCTAAATGAGAATTTACCTTCAATAGTTACATACTTATTCCCTACGTTTCCTGACATGGGGCTATTTTCAGTTTGTTAAATACACACATGTGGAATATGTTCACAGCTTATTAGCAAAGGAAAAGATAAGCGGGTGTCCTTGTTTTTAATTCTTCTTTATCATATACAAAGAAGTCCAGCAAGGTCCTCCGAATACCCAAAAAGGGCTTGATTTTTACCTTAGAGATACCAGTACTATCAAATTGTGTCTTCCCTGTTTGACGCTGGATGTTTCCTTGGAGGACTAGAGAACTGGAATGGGAGCTTCATCAGCCCTTTACTTAAAAGGAAGGGGAGGTGAGTCTTTACCAAGGACCTTTCCACTCAACTCTTTGTTGGGCACTACAGCTAAATAATTGTTAAAAAAATCTACATCGTCTGACTCAAAGTCCCAGATACTCTCAATTACTTACGTTTCACTTGTTACTTCTGCTGCCATATTCCTACTCATTGGTGACTACAGACTCTAGAAAGAAAGACAGGATGGAAAAGACATATGAAAACAAGCAAAAGTCTACTCCTCACATGCCTTTTAGGACATCTTACATGGCAAAGAAACAAAGGCCATTTGTTTCTTTGGCAGGTCATATTTCATGTTTATTTTAACCAATATTTTTCAAAGGAGACCATATCATGGTACTGTGGAGTAAGTGACTTATTAAATTATATAGATTATATACAAAACCATGTTACACAAAATCATGTTTCCTAATGTTATGTACTTTTCACATATACAGTGGAGTGGCAATCAAATTGGTGTACAAAATGTGACCTTTTTATTCAGTAATATAAATCATAGAAGATTAGGGTTGGAAGAGACCTCAGGAGGTCATCTAGTCCAACCCCCTGCTCAAAGCAGGACCAACACCACCACCAACTAAATCATCCTAGCCAGGGCTTTGTCAAGCCAGGCCTCCTTAAAAACCTCTAAGAATGGAGATTCCACCACCTACCTAGGTAACCATTCCAGTGCTTCACCACCCTCCAAGTGAAATAGTTTTTCCTAATATCCAACCTAGACCTCCCACACTGCAACTTGAAACCATTGCTCCTTGTTCTGTCATCTGCCAGTACTGAGAACAGCCAAGCTCCACCCTCTTTGGAACCCTCCTTCAGGTAGTTGAAGGCTGCTATCAAATCCCCCCCTCACTCTTCTCTTCTGCAGACTAAATAATCCCCGTTCCCTCAGCCTCTCCTCGTAAGTCATGTGCCCCAGCCCCCCGATCATTTTTGTTGCCCTCCGCTGGATTCTCTCCAATTTGTCCACATCCCTTTTGAAGTGTGGGGTCCAAAACTGGATGCAATACTCCAGATGTGGCCTCACCAGTACCGAAGAGAGGGGAATCATTGCTTCCCTCAATCTGCTGGCAATGCTCCTACTAATACAGCCCAATATGCCGTTAGCCTTCTTGGCAATGAGGGCACACTGCTGACTCATATTCAGCTTCTCATGCACTATAATCCCCAGGTCCTTTTCTGCAGAACTGCTGCCTAGCCAGTCGGTCCCCAGCCTGTTGTGGTGCGTGGGATTCTTCCCTCCTAAGAGCAGGACTCTGCACTTGTCCTTGTTGAACCTCATCAAATTTCTTTTGGTCCAATCCTCCAATTTGTCTAGGTCACTCTGGACCCTATCCCTGCCCTCCAGCGTATCTACCTCTCCCCCCAGCTTAGTGTCATCTGTGAACTTGCTGAGGGTGCAATCCATCCCATCATCCAGATCATTAATAAAGATGTTGAACAAAACAGGCCCAGGATCGACCCCTGGGGCACTCCGCTTGATACCAAAATATCCCCTTTTGTTACTTTTGTTTGCTTACATCCTGAAGTCCTTAATGGACACAATTTCCTTTGACGTCAGTGTGTATGAACTACAGGATTGGGCCCTAAATTATAGCATTGGCACAGGTATCTCTGCTAAGCACCATTTTGAAAATGTAATTCCATGTACTTAAAGCAAAATACTGTCTGCGTATTTCTTAGACTGCAGTTGCATGACTGGTTACACATGCCTCAATCTTGAGAATTGGGCTGGCTTCAATTTTGCATTCTCAGAGCAAAACTGAACATTTGCACAATTAGGAATTTCCTTATGTTTTCCTGATCTTGCAGTCAATTTGTTCAAACTCACTGATTTCAATGGGAGCTTTGACTGAGTAATTTGGGATTTGGGTGGGGTGAAGCCCTCATTTGAAAGAAACTCGTGACAAGAAATGTCTCATTTCCTATTGTGTGTTCAAAGGGACCACAGTGCATTAATAGCTGATTGGCTACTGCTTCTGTGCAAGTAATTGCCTCTTTGACACCAGCTTTCCCACAGTAACATGAACCCCATAAAGTTGTGCTTGTGTGCACAGCGGACATTTACCATCACATTACTCCACACTTCATTTTAATTTCTACTGATGCTTACTTGTTTTTTATCCCTTTCCCACATATCTACTTTATACAAACAGGAAAAATGTCACCACCACAATGTGTTGTTCCAGGACATATGCAATAACTTCTCACCCAGGCCATAATTTCATGCGCACTCTGGTTAGTTTTCCCAATAGAAAAGGAAACTGCAAGCTCTGCATTTAAGCAATCAGAACAAAGAGGCCCTTAAGCAGTTCAGTGTGTTAACCCCTTGATTCCCAAATCCTCAGTATAGCCAGAACCACATCTAAGAAGACAGCTAAAATTCAGTTCAGTACAACTAATTTCATCATACCTTTTGCATAAAGTTAAAACAATAAATAACAGAGGGAGGGAGACATGAAACGGAGTAAGTAAGGGGGAAAAGGTATATGAGATTTGAAAAGACATGGTGAGTGAATGAGGTAGAGGTTGCCCCTAT